TTAGTTTCTTTGAACACTGTTTTATAGTCTTCAAAGTATATGATTTGCAGGGGGTTTTTTGTTTACATTTATTCATCATTATATTTTTCTTTTTGATATTATTGTAAATGGAGTTGTTTTCTTAATTCCGTTTTGGATTTTTTCATGGCGAGCATACAGAAGTACAATTGACTTTTGTATTGATCTTGCACCTGCAAACTTGCTCAACTTGTTTATTCGTTTCGATATTCTTTGTAGCACATTTCTTAGGGTTGTCTATATACATGATTATGTCATCTATGAACAGAGATAGTTTTCAGAGTTCCTTTCCAAACTGGATGCCTTTAATTCCTTTTCTTGATTTATTGCTCTGGGTAGGATTTCTACTGGACATCCTTGTCTTGTTCCTGATCTTTGGTTGCTTACTTTGTTGTTAAGTTGGTGACTCATTAACGTATTTTTCAATTTTGGTCCCATTCCTGGGATTAGACCCTCTCCTCCAGAGTCATTGACATCAGCCTCTTTGCCTCGGGAGGACGAGGAAGATGCTCTGGGTCCTCGCACCCCAGATCCTCTTCTTCCCGATTTGGGTACTACTTGGACTCCTACCATTTTGCCCACCTGTGATGAGCTCCCCATCACGGGAAACATTCTAGACCACCTGCACAGAGACCACAGCGACCCTGCAAGCCACCCTGGTTGTCTCTTGGTTCTGTAGTGAGGAAGCGGGAACAGTAGCTGGTAAAACTCAGATGTTCATACTTGTTCCTGCAGCATCTGCTGGTTATCAGGTGCAATTAAACCTCCTTATGAGGTCAGTTCTATCTGTCCCCCACACAACTCAGACCTTAACTGACAAACCCGGGCATAGAAAAAGTGGCTACAGCCAAAAGAGCAAAAACTGACCAACGGGGAAAACAAAAACAAAACAGGTAAAAACGGTGATTAGGTATCCTCTCCTGGACAATCTGGGCAAGGATATTCGCAAAGAGATTTCTGAGTCTGGTTATTCAAATACGTCCTAATGAAGGAGGTCGATGAATTCCCAGGCCAGGTACTAGGCATAGAGAGTGCCACAGGCGACCCCACCAGGGTCCTCCTGATGGTCCCTGTGACTATAGGAGTGCTGTTCCCTCGGACGCTTCCCGTGAATCTGGAGATGAATCAGAATCCCAGCAACTTGGACCCAGATCTTTTGGGTTTTAAAAACAAAGCAAATTAAAAAAAATACAACAACAACAACAACAAAAACCCAAAACAGTACTAGAGGTTAGGCCAAGGTCCATCTCTTCCGGGGAGAACAGGAGGCCCTGTGCCAAGGCTAGAGTCTGGTGGGGAGGTAGGGGAGAATCACAGCGGGGCTGATACGGGGGCTGAGGCCACCACCGCTGGGACCGTCACCCAAGCCTGACCCCTTAGTGCCTCTACAGACCTCCATTGCTGAACCTCCTGCTACTTAACGAACAGCTCTATTAACTATGTGCACTCTTGCTCACATTCACCCCCAGTCCCTGTCAGGAGGTACAGCAATTAGGGCCATCCTTGTGGGGCACATGGGAGACCACAAACTTAACCTCATGCTGTTGTCTCTCAAAAGCAATACATCCTGCCTGGAGGAGAAAAACAAGCAACTGCCCTCATTGCTGAGCTCAAGAGTCAAAGTCCACTATGTGCCTCTCCAGCCAGCAATTTCCCCCGGAATTACAGACTTGCTTATCAAACTGGCTAATAAAAATCTCTACTTAGCTGATTGTCATCTCAGAATTAGCATATCCTATGCTGCAGTCCTGAATTTTCCATCCTAATGATTTCATCTAACCCCACTTACTTCCCCAAGGTCCCAGAATCAAGTTGTACCACCTTGGGGGTTGGGGCTTCAACAGATGAATTTGGGGGGAACACATTCAGTCCATAACACATATCTCCCTGTATCTCCTTTTCATCTCCCCTTGATTATTTCTTTTCACCCTAATGACCTGCTTCTCA